GACATTCTCATATGGGTGTTAATAGTTATAACTTAATAGCGCATCTCTGGTTAATTTCTTTTGGCTATCTGTAAAATACATACAATTAAACTTTTATCTGTCTGTTCAGGTCTTTTAGAAATATCAACCGTAGAGAGAGGTGTTGTTAGCCTGTTTGGTGTGAAAAGTGCCCTCTTCATTGCAATGAACAACAAAGGGAGGTTATATGGAACGGTGAGTACAAGTTCAAATTTCTTTTTCTTTTTTTGACGCTTAATAATTGACCAGAATATGGTTACTAAGAAAACTTGGGAATTTTATTTTCCATCATAAAAAATCCCCTGGCAGTGCAACTATAGCAAGCCTAACTTACCATCATCAATAATGTTCATTGTGGTAATTGGCATTGCTGTCAGTGTGCTGTTATCATAAGGCATTCTGAGGAGCACTTAAGAAACGTGAACTGGTTAAAAGGTGGCATTGATCACCTTTGAATGGCTGTCTGCATGTAGGCTTGGTCCTGCCAAATCTTCTGAGTTTTTTTCCACTCTGAATGGAAAGAGGGGACACATTGTCTTTATGGAAATAAACATCGGAGCCAGGAGGTCTGGTCAGTAATAAAAACACTCCATGAAATTCTTCTAGGGAAGTCACCTCTAAATTCGTCCACTTAGGGAAAATGTGTATGCCCCAACAAATGAATTTGTCCCCTTGAAATGGCCTGAGAGCCATATGCATGTGGGAGATCTTCCAGAGGCTAGTTTGGTAGGATAAAATGTAGAGGAAAAAAAAATCTCATCACTAATAAAATTATCCTAGTAACCACAAATACCATCATCATTGGACAAAAGGTATTTGCCAGTAATCACCAAATGCAAATTCAACTTTTAAATCCCTAGCAATGCTTCCATAATTTCAACAACCAGCAGAAACAGCACCTGCAGAATATTCCAGTTGAAAGGGATCAGCCCTGCAAGAAGCAAGAAGTCTGCCTCACATAATGTCTGGAGTTTGCTGCTGTTTCCTTTTTTTCTCAAAAACTACAGAGTCATTTCCATTGAAGCATTCATAACTTCAAGAAAATGGTTCAGTTATTTAATAAAATACCAAAATAGTGGCCAGATACTGCCACCTTTAGTCACTTCTTCATTCAAATAGTTCCAATGGAGCATCGAACCCAGCAATAAATAATACATAGGGCATTTTAACCCAGCTATGTCTAGCTTTAGGCACAGGAATGTTATCATGTACCAGAGTGCTTTACTAGACTAGGCTCTGCTGAATGACTAGACTCTGCCTCAGAGTTCTCTTTTTTACAGTTCCAATTCGGTCCTGCTAAATTTTAAGAGGCATGTGAGAAAATAAGAACAGTTGTATATTTTCCATTGCTAAGAACCTAAATCCTGTGGGGCCTTGGCTGGATTTGTCACAGAGGTATCTAGTTAGAAAAGCATGGAAATGTCTATATGACAGCATCAGTGTTACAATGGTATTCTGTATGTAGGACATCTGATCTCAGAGAATTATTTCCATGTCTCCTTTCACACAAATGCATCCCCTTTTGCCAACTCTGTGCACTTCTATCCTTGTCTGCAGGCATATTTGCAAAGTCTGCAAAGTTGCCAAAGTTCCCTTCCTCACAAAAATTTCAGGAGTCAGTTCCTCAGATTTCAATGAGAGCACATGAAAAAACTATATCCAATCTCTTGGCAGAAAACACTTTGATAGCATATTTAATTTTGGTGACTCTATGCCTATTAATCAGATTTTAAAAGAGTTGGAATGGATCTACAGTCAAGCAGAGAACTCCAAGCAAGGACTTCTCAGTTAGTGGGACTGCTTATGTGAGGGCTGCAGGATTTTTGATGCTTGCTAGACTATTCTGTTCTGCATGGCAAATAATCTGGAAACTTGGGGGCATGAAATAACTCCATGTCATGCGGACAATTGGGTGTCATGATGACATAAATGGCTCCTCCTGGAGAAAAAGGAAAAAAATCCCTGCTTTATTATGAATTAACTTGATGTGTACAGGAAGTGCACAGTCCATTATCTGAACAGGTGGCATCTGTGTATATCTGACACCGAATTAGTGCCAAAGGAGATTTATCATTGGACACAAACCTTACACCACCACCTGTTACACACCACGACAGGTTCTTCTGTAAAAAAGGAGGATAGGAGAAGGAATCACTCAGGTCTTCCCATGGTATTTATGGTAACTGTTTTGTTTCTTTTTTTTTCCTTTCTCTATTCCCTAGGCAATTTTTCAAAACGAATGCAAATTCAAAGAAACCTTGCTGCCCAATAACTACAACGCCTATGAATCCAGTGCATACCAAGGTGCTTACATAGCACTCAGCAAACATGGGAGAGTGAAAAAGGGAAGTAAAGTCTCTCCTGCGATGACAGTCACACACTTTCTGCCCAGAATATGAAAATGAGGCACGCATATTTAATTAAGGGGGGAAAACAAAACAAACAAACTCTCATTTTGCACATGTGAATAAGCTCCCAGGTAAAGTATTTATACCATTCATAGATATATGTATATTTGGATAGAAATATTTGTACTAGATACATTACACAATGTATGCAACACTATGCTGCTTCTCTTGTACTCAGTACAAATGAATTTTACATGGGCTTCAATGGTGCTGGATAGAAAACAAAATGCCATCCTGGTTGAATGGCAAATATTTGCAAGTTGCAGAATGTCTGTAGACAATTCCTAATTACCTCAAAAACTTGACAAATTGCTTGACAATTTCTATTCATACAAATAAATGGGAAACGCCCTTAGGTGCATTGACATTAAAGGTGCTATACTAATTTACACCACCTGAGCATATGGTCCTAACATTTTGCTCACTAAGGTGTCCATTCAAGCAAAGGTTCTGTGTGAACAAACTTTTATGGCTGCAGCACCCCATGCAGTGGGGGATCTCCATAAAGGCTGTTGAGCCTGTCCACATGGATTTCTTTGAAGGATGGGAACCTATGTTGGTTTTCTGGACCTCAGGATTTGGCCCCTTTACATCAGAGATGAGTCCTAGAGGCACAATTAGTCTTGAAATCAAGATACTGAACAGCTCAACGTTTGGAGCTGCTTCCACCTAGCATGTGGTCTAGGCCCATCTAAAATATACATGTATTTGCATATCTGAGTTACACAGACACAGTGTATGATAGATACACAGCCACTGTGTATTTATCTAACTAGGTATTATTAATATACTAGTCACCATAGTAATTAGGTGCCTTCAATGTATAATATATATAGAAAACACAGGGAAAGAAATATTTAAAGGCAAAATATTTTATTTCATTTTCTATACCATTAACAACCATATACTGGAATTAGTCTGTGGCATGTAACTTGTAAAATGTAAGGAATTCATATAAGCTTCCAACACAGGAATATATTAGAGAACTTCTCTGTTTCAAACACTAAGTGCATGATATGCTGGAGAGCCCTTCTTTAGTCCCAGTTGCATGCTGTTTGGGTCTACTGTCTGGACATACCCTATTTTTCCTTACCATATCTCAAATGCAGCAGCATGTAACATGTCTAAACAACATTTTTTGTGAGTTACTGTAGAGGAGCGGGTGTCTTAATTCTGGTTCATGAAGACAGCGTTACTTAAAAAGACTATCCTGCAAATTCCATTAAACGTCCTCCAAACTTCTCCTAAAATATCTATAAAGGACATAAAACCTTGCCCAACTGTTTAGATAACCCTTTTCCAGAATACCAGTCATGCCACATTCCCTATGCCTTTACAGAGTATTTTAAGAGACCCTAAGTCAATAGTCTCTATAAATGTCAGTGACCAGAAGCCTTGAGATTCCTGCATTGATGGGGCACTCCTAAATTTGAAACTAGATTCAAAGCAGTGTCAGAGCACAAGCATTTTCAGCACAGAGAAACCATGTAGCTGCAGAAGTGTATGTCTGAGCGCAAGTATAATTTTCCATGTGCAACCAAAATGCTGAATACCATCAGCCTTGACATGCCATTCTATTTGCAGGGGTAGTATATTTGTAATGAACATGGGCCTTTTGACATAGATGGAACACAACACAAGGGCCAGATCTCCAGTGAATATAAACCGGAGTAGCTCCTGTGACATTAGCTGAACTACACCAATCTACATCAGCTGGGGATTTAGCCCCCAAAGAGTGTCTGTGCATGTACACAGTACACACATGTGCACACACATGCACACACACACACATATACACAAACACACTCTGAATTATTGTGAGAGCAGCGATTTTATAAATGAAAAGCCATTTTACAGCTCCTTTTGTTTGATTTATACTTGAATTTATTTTGGACAAAAAGTAGAATTTCTCAGTGGCTCCAGTGGAATGGAGCATAAACAAAGGAAGAGACAAAAAAAAGATGGACTACAGCTTATACGGTATGTCAGGTGGATTTTTTTTTGATAAAGCAAAGGAAAAGAACAATTCTTCATTTTTTAGTACTGTAGTGTGTGTGTAAAGGAAAGCCAAATTGGCAAACTGTATGTGTCTGCCATGCATAGAGTTGTTTGGTTTGGAAGGGTTTGCATTTTCAAGGGGGAAAACAGGAGGCTAAGAGGGAAGAAAAGAGGCTTAGAGCAATGCCTAGATATTACAGTTAGAGCAGGCCAGATTGTCAGCTGCTGGCATGTAGGGTCATACATGCCACCTGCAGATCTGGCCTCTTATTTAATTCCTAGTTGTTTTTGTCTTTGAAAGGATATTTAAAGAGGGATGGAGGAGTCAGTGAGAAAAGAAATGATGTTTTGAATGCTGATACACAGATGCTTTTGGAGTATGCTTCAGTTCAGTGTTGCTATTTTGGGACATATTTTGTTCTCAGTGACACCGGGGAAATCAGCAGTAATACCACTGACATCAGTGTCATTAATAAAATTGGAAAACTGGCACATAAAGATGCAGGGGTATGTCATCAGGGCCATTATACTCCACACTGGGTCACTGAATCTTTTAGTGCAACACCTGAATATCAGTGATCATCTGAGCTGGTCTGTAAAAACGTTGGTGGGTATTTAGCTATCCACACCATTAACTCTACTGAGTTACTCTCAACACCATCATATTTTTTTCCATAATGTTTGTAGATTAAGGGCCAGTGAAAGTAGACTTGTGTAGCAAACTAGTGTAGCATTGCGATTTGCAATTAGTGTGGGGGTTAGATGACGTCTGTGTCAGAAGTGCAAACTCCTGCAGATGATGCCTCCAGGATAGATGTCAACATGCCACAAAGCTGTGGGTTTGGTGCTGGTTTGGCTAGCAGGTGCTTGGAGAAATACCTGGAGACATGCCTTTCTCAAATATGTGGTTATGTTCATAAGAGGGACTTCGTAAAAATGGCACATGCTTACTTATCAGAACTGCTTCACTGCATGTCTTCAACTCATGACAGTTTATTTTTTGGCTGGGATGGTCTTAGTTTGGCTGGGGTGATCTAGTTGGGGATGGTCCTTCTTTGAGCAGGGGTGGGACTAGATGACCTCCTGAGGCCCTTCCAACCCTCGTTTTCTATGATTCTATGATTCTATTACTGACACAGTCAGGGTTTGCTCTTGCTGGACCTGCAGAGCTGATCCGACTGAAGGGGAGCAGACCTGCCCATGTTCTGCCTCATGCATCATTTTTAAAAATTGTCAGCTAAATTCTGATATCAGGCTCCTAATCAGTTCTGGTGAAGAAGTAGGAGTCAGGGAGAACACTGCTTGCTTTGCAGTTCTCAGGGAGAGTTTGTTGAGCTTGCACTGTTCACTTTATGAACTAAATGCATTTTACTTGAAAGTTACTGGGAGAAAATACGGGCACAGTCCGGCAAACTATCTACTTAAGAAAGTCTTCAGTCAGGAGAGCAACTCTCCTGTGGGCTACCCGTAATCTGAATAAAGACCTTCCCATGGGAGTGAGGGTTGAGGCAGAATGGGCAACCTACAGAACCCCTTATTGTCATCTTGATAATTATTTTGATATCACAGTCAAACATCAGCATTCAGTGGCACATTGCTCTGAACTACAACACAGTACATGCCCCATGGATCCCAAATGTCTGCCTGCGTAGCGCTCTGTCTACGCATAGGTCACAAATGCACAGGTGAATATAGTGGAAGGATTCTTTTTCCAAATAGGCAAACCCCATAATATATTGAAGAGCTAATCCAACTCACTATAAAATCAATCTTTCTATTGGACTTGGATCAAAACCTTAGACAAGCTGCCCCCTCCCCATACAAACTGGTACAGCAGAGTAACCTTTGTATACCTCATTAACTATGCCAATTCCAATATTTTATTTTGCACAATAAAATGGTGCCAAAGTGCTAGCGTTATTTTCTTGCCACCAAAATATACCTCATGTTCTGACTCAGTATGGACTTGACAATTGAGACTGTAAATCTGTAGGAAAACAAAAAAACCTGTCTAATCAAGTGTTTGTAAAATGTAACTGCTTCTATTTTATATGTATGTGCTGTGCACAAATTTAATGTATTAATAAAATTAATTCTTTTTATACATTTCTTGTAGTGTTTTGACTGCAGCTACCTATAAAGTCTATTTTTTGCCTGGATGTAGAGCTGCTGGACTCTGAAAAAACTGGAAGTCTCTTCCTGGTTTTTATTTACTGTTACAATCAGAGTTAAAAAATGTTACAATATTACAATGGCAGAGTTAAAAAAGGGCTGTGGGTTTTTATAGGGTGCAGGCTTCCTCCCTGGGGAGCCAAGAGAGCTTTGCAGTAAAGGAGAATGAGCTATGGAAAACCCCAGGATGCAATATTGTCAGATCTATCATGGTCCCATTGACAGATTCACTGAAAAATTTGGGTTAAGTACTTTTCACCCAAGGAAACTCTAATATGATATTACTCTCTCCTGTCCTGTCATTAATGTTGTTTCAAGAGCATTTCTTAAGCACAGCAGCATATTTCTTAATGGAAATGCTAAATTCCCAGAACTATGTAATAAAAAATGACATTGGGAAGGTCTTTTTTGTTGTTATTGTTGTTGCTTTGTAGGGTCATTTCTTTTTGTTTGGAATGACTTTAAAGAGGCCATTTTGGAAGATTTTTTCACCAGAAGACTTAAGTCATGTATATAGTCTTAGTCTCCTCAAGATGGGATCTTGTCAGTTCTTACAGAGTAAGCAGCATTATACTAGGTGAGTATTTATAGAGGAGACTGCTCAGGAAAATCCTGGGTGCTAGTCAGTGATATGAGGGGAAGGGGACATTTGGGAGGTTGGATCCCTACCTAATGTGCATCTGTGATAACTCCACCCCAACTCAATAATTTGGTAAGCATTGACTTTTCTTTCAGAGTACTTGACCAGCCCATAAATTAGGTGGGCAAGACATATCTTCAGTATCAAACCCCTGCCAACTGGGGACAAAAGCAAAATATCC